TATGTTGATTACATATTCATTACAGTGGTCCTCTTTATCTGCGGGGAATATGTTCCAAGACACCCCCCCAACCATGGATGCCTGAAACTGCAGATAGTACCAAACCCTATATACACTATGGCTTTTCCTATAATACAATACCTACGATAAGGTTTAACATAAAACTCAGGCACAACAAGAGGTTAACAACAGTAACTAATAATAAAATAGAACAATTATAACAATATTCTGTTCACAATTGCATAGATAGATTTGTTCTTACCAGAGATTTCAGCAATATCAGCATACGATTTGTGTTCTTTTCTTATTAAATTGAGAACTTTTCAGTTAAAGGAAGCTCTTTACAGCTTCTCTTTGGCATATCTGAATTGCCAGTTTTAATACTCTTGCGCTTTGGGGCCATTATTAAGTAAAATGAGTGTTAGTTGAACACAAACACTGTGATACTGACAGTCACTCTGATAACCGAGACAGCTACGAAGTGACTAACAGGCGGGGAGTGTCTACAGCGTGGACATACTGGACAAAAGGGTGATTCCTGTCCCCAGCGGGCAGAATGGAGCAGGACAAAGCCAGATTTCATCATGCTACTCAGAATGGCATGCAATCTAAAACTTATGAATTGTTTATTTCTCAAGTTTTTCATTTAATATTTGGAGACCATAGTTGACCATGTATAACTGAAACCACAGAAAGTGAAACTGTGGATAAGAGGGGACTACTGTGTACATATATCCACTACTGCAGATATATATATGCCATTTACTATAAACTAATCCACTGGATTATTTCCAGGGCATCTTATAAATACGCTTATTTCAAATTTGATTAAACACTATCCTCTAGCTGTAATTGGGATTTTAAAAATTTTAGTAAACATATCATCTTATTTCTGAATATTTAATTTTCAAGGCACAAGTTTTTTACAACAATTCTATGCTTTTATCTGTATTAAGCTTACCTCTCTGCTGTAAATATTCTGCAAAACATCATTTTGCAAAATTGAATTGGGACCACTTACAAGCTAATGGTATGTAACAGCACCAAGAAAGAAAGAACAAGGCTTTACTTATTACCATTTAAAACTGTATGATCAGCTCTTTTCAGTTAAAGAGTAGACCAACCTTGGCAAGTCTTGTCTGTTAAACTTAGTTATTAACTTTTGTCCCCACTTTTGCTGTCAGTTTGAATCATCTTTGGAGAAAGAAATGAGAAAATAGAAAATGTTCCTTGGCTTGACAAAGAACAGCAGGGTGGAAGTGAGAGAAGACAATGAAACCCCTGCTGTTGATTTCTTCCTATGCTTGTTTTTGTTCTTGAGCTGGCAGTAGAAAAAACACTAATGAGACTCTCTTCTGATGATTGGAAAAATGTTCTGAAATGATTTGTTCGTCTGGATCCTGACCACTGTTGCTAAAAAGTCATCTTACAGATTACTCTACAATTCCCCACCTGCAAGGCTACAGAGGACTTCTTAGCTCACACAGTGAAGCAGAATAATTCTCATTATTTCTGCTTCAACAGATAATCTTTTTTTTCATCAAAAGTAGAAAGAAAATGTTCATTTTTTCCAAAAGATTTTATATTAGCTTTTATTTAACAGTTCTCAACAAAGGCATTTTTGGTCTATCATCCATGGAATGAAAAAAATAGTATAGTAGTAGTAAATTTCTTTTGAAGGTATTTTAGTATTTCCTTTTTTCCCTTGATGATAAGTAAGTAATAAAACAGTTTAAACAGGGGTAAGAAATTGTTAGAACCAAATGACCAGTTTAAGGGAATTGGAACAGTAGGAATGCAACTCAATTTCAAAGAAGTTGAGAGGGTGGCAATTCTGTGACATAGGATCAACATGCCAACATTTACACTGGAAAAGCAGAATTCCTCTTGCACACACACACACAATTCTATGGTGATACATGCAAAAAAGTGGATGACATCTCTTTTGTAATTAGCTCCTCCTAAATGAATGATATGCTTCACTTTGTCTGTCTCCCAGAGACCTCACACATCCCCAGTTTCCAATTTCAACCAGACACTATAATCAGGATTGTATGTTACCTTCAGGATATTATGTGGATCTGACAGTTTTTGTGAACATAGGAAAAGTCTGTGGATTTCAGGAACATATCTGGGAATGGATGTGCGTTGGGTGTGAGAGAGGTGGATGAGCTCACCATGGGCAAAGGCAAGAGAAAGGAAATTAATAAAGGAAGGTGAGTAGAGAAGACAAATCAATACAAGAACAGATCCACAAGAGAAATAGTACATTACAGATTCAAGTTATGATAAGTAAACAATGAAATCTCAAAGCCTAGGCTGCGGACAAGGAAGGGACAACCATATTTGTGTGTGTAATTGCAGTGTCCCTGCACACAGTAGAGTGGTCAGTGGAAGACGAAGGATAGGAACACATCATCCCTTTTTTGACCCTTCACCTTGCTCTTTGTTAGCCTGAATATGACTTTATTTCCCTCAACTATCAACAAAAAGACTAATAATCTTAGGAAACTCCAAAGCTAACATTTTGAAATTCAGATGTCCCTTTACTGACAAATTTACTGATAAATCTGTTCTAAAACTTGATTAAAAATTTTACTTAGGGATATTTCATTTATTGAAATGTATTTTCAGTTACTATATCTCAGACTAAGGATGACTTCCATCTCATAGAAGGAGAAGTAGCGGCCCAAAATGTCCTATAAAACATAACTACAACATTTTTAGAAGATTTAAAAATCTTTCTGTGACAATCTGTTAACTTCTTGGGCAAAATGCTGCTTTGAATCTATTTTGGGAGCCATTAAAAGTATTTCAGTTTCCTTTTACAGGCAGTCCTCACTTACTTTGGTGGTTTTATTTGAAGTCAGATGCAACTATCCCAAGGAGTATTTGAGCATCTGAACTGAGAATCTTAGGAAAACTTTCCCATGTTAATATTCTATAATTTTCCATCAAAGAAAAGGGAGCCAGAAATCATTTCATTGTCTCCCTCTCCTGTTAAATTTAGATTTACAGCAATTATCTTAATGTTAGAACTTTATCATGTGTATTAGTATTGCTGTCACAACAAATCACCATAAACTTAGCTGCTTAAACAGCACAAATTTATTATCTTACGGTTCTGTAGGTCAGAAGTCCTACACAGGTTTCTCTGGGCTGAAATCAAGATGTTGACAGAGTTCCTTTCTGGAGGGGCTGAAGGAGCTCATTTGGGTGTTGGCAGATTTCAGTTCCTTTGGGCTGTAGGACTGAGGTCTCCATGTCCTTGCTCATTGCCAGCTGTCAGCCATCTCCATCTCTAGAAGCCAGCCACATTCCTTGGCTCATGGCCTCACTTCCTCCATCTTCAAAGCCAGCAACGCGAGTCTGTCTCATATTTCTAATCTCTTCTTCATATTCTCCTATTGCATCTCTCTGACCCATTCTTCTGTCTTCCTTTTCCACTTTTAAGTGTTCATGTGATTATATTGGTCCCACCTGGATATTCCAGGATCAGCTCCCCATAATGAGGTCCTTAATCTCAATCACCTTGGCAAAATCCCTTTTGCCACACTGAGTAACATATCCAATGATTCTGGGGATTGGAGCCTGAGCATCTTTGGAGGACCATTATTCTGCCTATCACAGCATAAAACTATTTTATGCCACAAAAAGGTTCACCTTATCTCTGCACCACAAAAATAAAATAAAAATGAAAATGGCTTTATCTGTTTACCTGTTTAAATATGTTTAACACTTGAAAGGTTTGGCCCATTGCCAAAAATATCAAAATGTTTAATCTTCAAATTGCAAAAACCAACTACCAATTGACATTAGGAAAGATAGAAGTTTACCAGGTGAATTTCAACAAAAGCCTTGGTATATTTGGCAAATAAGGTGTAAATCCTAGTATTGAGCAAGTACAACAGCAGTGCAATTCTGCATTTGCATCAACTAAGTACTTGGATTGAACTTAAACCAGCTGTCAAAAGGAAGTGAGCCATATTTTCAAATAGGTTTATGAAATATTATAATATAAAACAAAGGTTTA